TTAACTCCTGAGGCCTGTGTAAATACCCCCTATGTGTGCTAGTCCCCCACTTCACATTTCCTTAGCATCCTCTCTTAGATCCAGCCTCACCTCTTTCCAACCCTGAATTCTCTGCTAATCTATAGGGCAGATCAAGGTGCATGGATCAGGCTGGCACGAAATTCATAAGGTGAGATTTGCAACTCAAGTTTTTTATCTTACCATTCCCAATCAACAGGCAGGAAGGATCGGGCATTAAGTCAATGTGGTTTCTGGACATGAGTATCAGACTAAACAAGAAATCCACACACAGGGAAGCCCAGGCTGGTAATGAAGATACATTCAGGACCCTTAACTCCAGTCCTTCAGAAAGCAACACTCTCATTCAAGTGCCACCACTTCCAGAAAGTCTTCCCTTATACTGCTAATAGCAATTACTCTTCTTCTATCATTGTGTACTATCATGTTTACACTCATATCCTTAAAAGCCCTCATTTCATACTCTTGTGCACATGCCTGTCTTCCTACATAACTGCTAGATCCTTAGGGCACAAACTTCACCTTATTTATTGCTACACCACCCATGTTTCTGAGCACAGAAACTTTGCTCATGGTAAATGTCAGTAAATATTTATTGCATTGGGCTGAATGGCCTTTATAAATCCCAAAGAAGGATCAAGGAGGAAGCAGCAGGGCTCAGGAAATAATTAATCACAGATTGATTAACATTGTTTCCTCTCATTCACACCCCTAAACCAGCCTGGCTTTCTGAAAAGAAAGAATGTGGCTCGCTATCTTTCTCCTAAAGGAGTTGGATGGGGATAGGGCCTGAAAATTGACCAAGAAGAATGGATCAAATCACGCAGCCTTCTCGTGGATGAGAACTCTGGCAAGAAAAAGGACATCTGCCTTGCAGTAGGAGGAGGGCTAACCAATTCCTGTGATGCCAGGATCCTGGACAGGCTCCCTAGGGCAGGGCTGGAGAAAGCTGGAAGTCTAAAATGGTAGAGATGTGTGTCAAGAAAGGGGCACATATCACTCTTGCTCTCCACAGATGATGCCCAAATGCTCTTGAGATGGTATGATCCCTCAGGTTGTTGTGGAAGTGTTCATGTCTCAAAGCTTCAAGTCAGAACATTTTTTTTTAAAATATGTTTTTATTAATTTCAGAGAAAGGAAGGGAGAGGGAAAGAGGGATAGAAACATCAAAGATGAGAGACAATCACCAATCATCAGCCTTTTGCACGTTCCCTACTGGAGATCAAGCCCAAAACCCAGGCATGTGTCCTGACAAGGAATCGAACTGTGACCTCTAGTTCTTGGGTCAACACTTAACCACTGAGCCATACCAGATGGGTTTATGCCAGAACATTTCTAAGGGAACTTCAGAGCTGCCCCAGGGACAGGGTTTCATGCCCAGGGCCTGATCTTTAGGAAGCCTCACTCTTGAACTGGGCATCCCTAAAAGAGATGGGAATGAGTGGGTGACAGCCACTTAGCCCTCTCCTGGTTCAGTGTACTGCCCATGAATAACCCCCTTGGTGAATTTCCCAAGACAACGGGCAGCAATCTCTTGAGCCTAGTAGGCTTGTAAACCCCTCTCTTCCTCATGCAGTGGCAGATGCTTAAAAATAAACATTTTGTACATAAACTTTAGCAAGTATAGTTAGGAGCTAAATCAAACTCAGATGTTTAAAGTCTGTTTTGTCTCACCCATATCAAAACTTCCAAGCTAAGAAAATCAGCCTATTTGAGCAGACATTAATTCTAGTGAAAAGACAGGTCATGTTCCTGATGAACAGTGGATGACATCTGTACAAACCCAGAGGGCTCCTGACCCACAGGGTCCCCAGGAAATCCAAGCTGTTTTCTTCCTGGGACGTGGGGGAGTTAACCCAGAGCAGTACAGGAAGAAACCTACTCCCCTGGCAGCAAGACCCCTTATGCTGTTCCTAAAGGATTAGAAGAGCTGCTTCCCTCCAGCTAAGACCTCCTGTCTCTCATTGTCTTAGTCACAAACTGCATTTCTGCTAGGGCACAAGTGCTGCTGGCTGAATGTCCCCAGAAGAATCTACTGGGAGCGAGTCCCTGCTGGATACCTTCCTGAGGAACTTTCGAGGCAACTGTTGCATGCACGTGCACACACACCACTCAGGCCTGCAGGCCCAGAGATTTCTAGAGCAAAGGTGAAGAGCCCTGTTGGACTGGAGAGACACATCAGCAGTCTCACAGTGCAGCCTGCTGGGCATGCCTGAAGGTGCAACAGGAGGAGGGAGGGGCCAGGGGTGCAGGTGTCTTCCTCCCCTCTGCCCACTTTCACCACCTGGGAAAGGAGCCTCTAACCCCAAATATCAAGTTCAGGCTTGAAGACCTAGACAAAGGCCTTCAAAATGTAAACAGACCTCCCATCCCCACTGAGCTCTTGGAGCTTTAGGAGGTTCCAAGGGACTGGCATGAGGGTGATGGGCACACTGGGATTTCTCAGGAAGAGCAGAAGCTCAGTGCTAAACACAGGAGCTGAGTACCCAAGGAAACAGGTGGGAAATAGCTCTGCTAGACCTTTGTCTGAATTATACTCAGCTTGTATCAGACTCCCCTGCCTCTATCCATCTCTCAACACAGACCACATGGGTGCAACTTATATGTGAGGCACGAAGAGAGTTCAGTTCACATTAGGAAGTAGTAATGGAACAGCCTTATCACATTGTGAGGCCACAGAGGCTCAAGGAAGGCAGCCACAGGCAGTTCTGACAGGTGGTAGCAGGAAAGATGGAGAAGTGGTAGAGGCAGAAAGAAATAATCCTGAGGAAGCACCAGGGTTGTGGTGTCAGAGAGAGGGCAGACAGGAGGAAGAAGAAGGTTACTTTGAAAGAATCAGAGAAAGTAAAATGGATCATTTGGAAGGAAGTGTGAAATGAGTTTAGGGTGGTATCTGCAGAGTATGGGTAGCTGATCCCCACTCCTTCACACGAGTTGAGTCTTTACAAGCCATCCAGCTGCATTTTATTGTCTTCCCTGTCTCTTCTTACCCAACTTTGCCCCTAATGCTACTGTCCCTCTTCTCTCTCCCGGCTATTGTCACTCTCTCTTTTCTGCAGCCCCAGAATGTCAGAGAGTTCCTTATATTACAGTGTAGATAACTCCCCACACACACTAGCCAGTGACCCTTCCCTTCAGCCAGTATCTGAGAGATGCCTAAGGTGCAGCCTTGCCTCCTCTGGCCAAGCTGCTGGCCTAGCCAAGGGTTGTGGGAGCTCCCCAGCCATCTGATCCATGAGGAGCAGTGGCCAGCCTCCAGCTCTGCAGTGCATCGTGCCCCGTCTAGACACATTTGAGCTCTCCAAGCTCAGGAACTGCCAAGCCCCAGAGCAGGGCTCTGCTCCAAAGGCAATTCTTCCCCTGCAGGTGAGGCTACTTTGGTGGCCAAAACTGAGTGCATATTGGAGCCATTTCCCACTTAGCTGGCGGCCAGTCACCTGAAGTCTCAGGGGCACAGACAGGGCTCTCTAGTAAGGAGAATTTTTATTTTTTAATCATATTTTGAAAAAAAAAATGAGTAGTTGGGAAAAACAGGCGACAGAGTGGGTGGCCACTTGAGATGCAGAGAGGAAGATCAAAGCCCACCAGGCATGGAGGAAGCAGCCTTGGTGTGGCCCAGAGAACAGTCTAGGTGGCCTATGAAAGGCAGGACCTGGGAGGTGCTGGGGGAGAGAGAGCCTCGGTCACAGGCACCCAGTGGCCCTGCTTCCCAACCCAAGCACAGTCGTCAGCTGGAACAAACACCTGTTGTCAAGAGATGTCCAGCCAAGCTCCCAGTTCCCTGAGAAGGCACTCACAGCTCCATGTGGGAAGTGAACCTGCCCAAACTATGGTCCCAGGCTGCTTTCTTCTTCCAAGAAGCAGCTGGAATTTCTCCCTCTGGACTCAATTTTTCTGGCTGCTGCCCCTTTTAGAGTCCCAGCCCAGGGCAATCAGCCAGGAACATTGTCTGTGTTTGCATGCGGATTAATTAGTTCATTAGAAGAACCACAGTGACACTGTGACAATGAGTTCGTTATTTCAGTCATAGGCTGAGAGTCCTCTTTTCCAAATAAGCATTCTCTATCAAATTTCCTTAGAGATCCCTCAGTTCAGCCTCCCAATTTAGAGCAACCAGGCTCCTGAAGGCCAAGAGGGGGCATTATTTGCCCAAAGAAATATGGAGGAGAGTTGGAAAAAGAACCCAGTCTCCAGACTCATCCTAGTGCTTTCCCACTTGAAGGTGTTGTCTCCCAATATTCAGCTGGGAAAGAGGTTGAACTCTAAGAACACACTGAGTTTCTAAAACCCTGAACCCATTTTATGCTAGTCAGACTTATAGCATTCTAGTATGTTCTTTAAAAGTACTCTTCCCCAATGTTCTATAGTAGCTGGGAAAATTCTCAAGGTTACAGGATATCATTGTAGGGGCAGTGCTGAAGGAAGAGATGCCAGGACCTGGGGAGAGGAATAAAAACCCTTCTAATTTCCTCCCTTCTAATTTGGAGATGCCATAAAAAGCCCATATTACCTCTCAGGCCAGCCAGATTATTCTAGGTCTTCCCTTTTCTTAGTCAACACCATGGTTACTTGGGCATAACCCAAGGATATGCTTCAACCAGATCCTTCTTTAGAACAATAATAAGAGGTGTAATTCCATTCGTTTCCCTCTCCCCCTACACACACACACACACACACACACACACACACACACACACACACACATACACACGAACAGGCAAAGACTGACCATAGTGCTGAAGGACCTCAAGGTGGAAGTCATGGTGCATCCATCTACATTATCTGTTTCTCACACAGCCTCCATTTTTTTCCCTGTTCCTGAGCTGCTTCCCTATCCATAAGACACAGCAGGGAAATAATAGAACCTAGCAAAGCAGAGTTCTCTGCTTAACCAACAGTCTCCAGAAGCTAACAGGATTGACGGGTTTATTTCAGGATTTGCATCTCTAGAGTCTTCCCAAGAATTTCCTCCCCCATCTTACCTGATGAGGTCAATAGGTTGAAACTTATAAAACACTCCATAGCGTGCCCATTCTTGATACAGCAGCTAAACAAGAAAAATAGGGAAACAGATTAGAGTGGGGGAGCAACTGTTTACCTTTGTCTAACCCAGCAAGTCAAGATTTTACTCCCAAAACCATCCCAATGACTTCATTTGGATGACTAGCAAGTCAAACTGAATTTTCAAAATCCAGCTTCTAGGACAGTTCTTATGAGACATTCACAAGGGAGATGTCCTAAGGCAGGTGGCTGTAGAATCTGACTTCTTCCCCAGAAAATAAAGGTGACCTTTGTCACACTCCAAGATAATGCTGCACCTAGCCATCATAATCTTTCCTTCATTGTTCCTTTGTCTTGCTTAGTCCAGCAAAATGAGCCCTGGCATTCTTTTATTCACTCATTTAACAAGTATCAATTGAACATATACTTTATACCAGGCACTGTGCAGACACTGGAACACATTCTAGAGGATAAAGGAGAAAATAATGCACCAAACATATCAGGCCATGTCATCTTGTGATTTTTCCACAGCAACTTTAGCAGAACTGGCATGTGGACAAGCTTGTGTATCAGCCCCAAGGGCAAACCACATTTTAGTGTTAAATACCTAGCCAACAATCTTCACAAGTCACCCACAAATAATCTGGTAACAAAGCATCACTAGACATCACTTAGCTGCCCAGATATTACACAGAATCAAATTATTTGTCTAGAATTGAGACTTATAACACAGTTACTACCTTCTTATGTTCATTATTCTCCTTATACATCACATCTCCTTATACATCACACAGATTTATGTCAAGGAAAATCTACTGCCATTGTGTACTTTGTATATCCATTCAACATTCACCCTACATGAAGCCATCCTTTCACCTGAGTATCTTTAAGTACATTATATGAAAACTTCAACAAGAATTGACATTCTTACTTAATGTCTATAGACTTTTATTGTCAGGTACTCTCCCAACAACCAGAAACTACACAGATCCTGATAGAACAAATGGCATCCACAGTTGCTACTAGGAAACTAGGAAACCAAGACATAAAAAAGGAGTGGCGTTGTGAATAATGGGTACAAGTAGATCTGAATTCATGAACTTGGACTATGATCATTCTAGGCAGGTGCCACCTACTAATCTTACTGTTATTATTACATCTTCTTCTTCCCCTCATCTTGGGCATTTCTACTGCCCTGGGTTTTTATTCCTCTCCCCAGTGCAAACTCTGGACTCATCAGCACCTGGTTGTCACAGTGCCATTATTTGTGACCCAGAGGGAGGCCAGCCTGCGTCAGGAAATGCAAGGCAATTCCTCCTTTGAGGGCTGTTGGCACGTCACCACCTACCTCAAGGGTTCTGCCCTCTAGAGCAAATTTCTCTCCAAGTCACCTGTCCAGCCAACACTTGAGTCTGAGAATACTTACATGCCACTGCCCTGGATGGGACAACTAAAAATACTCCAAGAAGTCAATATGGCCCAGTTGGCTCAAGCCCAAACTAAGAGCCAAGTTTATAAGCCTTATCTCTGGTTGGATCCCAGACTGGCTATCAGAAACCTCCAGAAAATCCCTTTATCAGTGTAGTACCCTCTAAGCACAGTGTAGTACCCTCTAAGCTGTATCCATAGTTTCTGGATAAAGATGAGGATGAGCCAAGAGAGCTGTGTGAGTTCCGTGCAAAATGATGAACAGTTGCAAAATTGGATGCAGGCAGCCCCTGCAGAAGAGCTAGAGCTATAGAGCAGCAAATTGAAGGCCTGGACACCCATGTGGCTCACCCAAGCCAGTCTATACATCCTAACAGGAGAAGCAGGGAGAGGGTGGAGAGTGCTATAGACCCTTCCCTACCTCCACAAATATTTAATCACACACAATTAGAGACCAAGTAGGCCATACTAAGGCCCAGGTTCCAGGGTCCCAGTCAGGATGAAGGGAGGCATGTTCTGAGGTCTATGCCTATTGGGAACAATGCCCAAGATGAGGGGGAGAAGAAGACGTAATAAGTGGTGTGAGAAAAGTTCAGGACAACCACAGTAAATTGAGATAATCCCTTTAAGCTTGCATAGTACAGAATTTCCTAACAAAGCTATTGTCAAATCCACTTCCTCTCTTAGAGCTCCAGCATGTCCTCTACACCCATTGGCCAAGCCTGAAAGCAGATTAGGGAAGGTCTGCAGCTCCTTCTCAGTGGACAGCGCCTTATTTCAGGAGCCCTGGGTGAAATTCCAGGCATGTTGGTCTGACCCCAAACCTTTAAGGCAGGAAATAACAGCTCGCCTAGAGACTATCCATCTGATTGACCACAACATACAAGTGGCCCACAGGCTCCCTAGGGATTACGTTTGACAGTGGATCAGTTGGTTTGAGTATTTCTTTAGACTATAAAGGACCCAACTGTAAAAACCACTCACAATGCCAGAACACAGCAAGATGTTTGAGACTTGTGGCCTCCTCTCAGGCCACAGGCTCCTCAGAGAGCAGCTGGACCTGCAACAGGCAGAAAGATGCCAGCTGTGGCCAACTGAGAGGCACAAATGGGATAGGGTGGACCTAAATGGGAGAGAATGGAATTCCCTACCCGGATCCTACAATAACCTGTTTGAATTTTTTGGCAAGTCACTTCAACTATCTAGGTCTTTTCCTTTAATAGTACAATGGGACTTGTGCAGAATTGGAAAATTAATCCTCAATTGAAACAAACAATATGAAGTGAAAATAAGAAAAGTAACTTTTTTGTCAAAAAGACAGACTGCCTCTCTTTATACACTTTTTAGTGAGTCACTTTATAACTGTCCACTAGAGAAAACAATTATTACCAAAAGCCTGAAAAATCCAGGACCAAGGGTTGAAAATCATCCCAGTGCTGGGCTTTGGGTTCCCCCTGTAAGTGGGTGGGAGCCGCCTGGAGCCAGTGGGGTCAGGCATCCTTCAGAAGATGTTAATGGTCACTTCAATGGGATGCTTGAGAAAACCAGGCAGGTCTGGCTATTGTGGAATTAGGTAGTTGTTAGCAGCCAGGGGCTACCCATTCACACCCACACTGCTCCCTCTTTCTGCTGTCCTGCTTTCTAGAAAGGTGGAAAGCCCCTGTGCTCCAGAGGGAGGAAGACTCTTTTTAATTACCCTCCATAATGCCTCTCAATGGATGATAGACAATTACAATGTAATAAAAACAAATAAATATACTGCACATATTCAAGAGGTTGGCTCTTTCCTCTTTAGATTACCTTTAGACATCACCATAAACCACTGAAACTACAGGCTGGAACCCGGAACCCTGGTCAGATTTCCCCTCACCATGTAAAAGAGCTGTGTCCACTCGGCTACAGGGCTCTGGCTGGAATCTTGACACCAAGGTTTTAGTCCTGACTTGACAAATGGTTTTGGACATTGGAACCAGTTTCCTCACCCTGCTGGGTATGTTTCCCAAACCAAACAGACAGAAAAAAGCTTCACTCTCACTCATGGTTTCTCTTTTCCTGCATCACATGCATTTCCCCAACATGACCCTGGCAGAGGAAATCAAAGACACCAGGACTTGCCAACAAACCCAAGGGAAAGCCACAAGAACAAAGCCTATTGTCTTTCAAAGACACTGCTTCATCTTTGCTGAACATCATTTTGATGTAAACTTTGGGAATTATGAACCGGGATGCCTCTCCACCCTAGCTAGTCTCTCCCTGCCTCCCAGATTCTACCCAATAACCAGTTGGGTTATGCACTAGGAATAATTCTATTAGCCTAAAAAAGAATTTTTTTTCAGAGAAAAAAATATTTTGTTAAAAGGTTTTGTTGTTAATAATAATATAGCATTGCAAAGACAATGTACATATATTTTGGATAGTCTACAATTTGCTTCTCTCTGCCTCTGTAAAGATAAGAGAGGGCTGGATGATTTCTCCCATGAATTGCTGTGTGATCCTGGTCTGGAATGTTCCTATAAAGTTCTCTACCTGTACTATCTGGGTCACCACCCACCCAGTAGGAGGTTTCCTAGGTGGACATCAGTAGTGATTACTCTTTAAAGGGAGGAATGTGAAATTAGAAAGTGGGAGGACAAAAAATGGTTGGGGTGAGTGAGGTGAGATGTGGGGCGAAATGCTTCCTTCTTTTCCTTTAAATCTGATCCGGGACTTTTCAGGAAATTAAACACCGAGACTATTAGCATTAGATAGAAAACAGATGAGGTTAAGACATCGAAATACTAGAGCAGATTCCCTGGGCAGGCAGAGAAGGGACATGTGTAAGCAATCACAGCAGTATTTCTGGAGAAGACCTTTTATGTTTTTAATACTTAACACTTCATAACAGGGACTAATAGGCAGGATAAAAAGAAGGCTGCTCTAAATGCAACTTGGGGGATGAATTATTTTCCAGACAACAGAGTTGGGGGTGGTTAACTTGTTGGGCTTCAATTCTCACCCCTACTGCCCTTGCCCACCCTCCTCTGCTGACGGCTAGGGGAAACTGTGTGGGAGGATGGCATGGGTTGGGGTGGGGAGGTTGACAACCAGATGTGGCATTTCATTCATGGGCTAGTTAAGGAGCCTGGGTGATCCTTAGCCTGCCATGCCATGGCAGGGAAGAGGGCACACCCACATGTCCTGAGTATTGCAAACAGAATAAATGAGATCTAAGTGAGTGTCTGGGGAGAGAGTTGTCCAGTCAGGTGCTGTGCTGGCATAGGAGAGATCATTTCAAAGGGAACTTTTCCCTCTCCTAACTAATTATATTATATATAACCTCTAATTCCTGCCGGAATACACAATGTGAATGAGCTTCCCTCTCCCTCAGATTACTTATCTGAAATTTGGGAATGGCTATACCCTACTTATCTGCCTAGAGGACAAGAAGGAGAACTTAAAGATGACCCCACAAAAAGATAACGGCATGGGAAATAATAAATTTTTAGCAGGATTCGAGAGTCAGAGGTGTCCTAAACTCTGTTTCTATTTATTATGGCAGTGTTGTCACAGGTAAGGTGCAAAGTCTTTCTCTGCATCAGTTTCCCCATCTATTAATTAAGGAATTTGGACTTCCAGTGTTTCTCAGTTAAGGTGCTCTTGTCATCAGGAGTGGGATAATACTTTTGTGTGAAAGGGTTAGCCTAGCTGGCCCATCAGGCACTTTATACCAGCAGTACCCCCATGCACACAATCATGCCAGTGATCAGAAATGGCCCTCACATTTCCAAGTGCCTAGAGGGCATCGAGCAGTGGAAGGACTGTTGAAAAATATATAAGCAGATAAATCAAACATTTAGGACACTTCTTTCTAGTTCCACACCCATCCATGGTCTTCCATGCTCAAGCACTCAGTGCAACATAAAGCCAGCTTACCTTTCTGTCATTCATGTCATCCCCTGGACTGTCATATTCACCCTGTAGGAGGGAAAGAGATGCTAGATAAAGCCCATGGAACTATTAAAAACAGAGAAAATGTTTTATTTTTTATTTTTTTAACATATTCCATTTTTTTTCATTCTCACTTGAGGAAGGTCAAAAACATTATATGGTAAAGAACTAACATTCCTTCCACTTGCTTAGTCAATCAACCTTTGCGATGTTTCCTGTGGACAACTTCTCAGACAGAGACTCCCCTCAGATGCTCCAGAGGTCAGCCTGTACCTCCTCATAGCAGAGGCAACAAAGCTGTGGCCTGTGTCTGCAAATGGGCATATCCCAGGGAATCACCAATACCGTGTTCTGCTCACCCCTGCCAGTAACTGACTGAACCTAACCTTGTATGTGCCCATTGTAAAGATGTCAGTAAGAAGAAGACTGTCATCTGAGAAATTCCTTCAGGCATTCAGGGATTCCCCACCTCGGTCACCTCATTTGACACAACTCTGTGACACGTGCTAAAGAAGTCACCAACCAAATGAATAATAGGGGCATTTCATTCACTGGCCAGATAAGTTCTTCAGGAGTCAACTTGAAGAATGTCATTGCACTGTATTTTGGGATATTTATAACATTACTTCCAGCCAAGTAAAGTTTTGATTATAATCTGTTTTCTTCACTTAACCAAACAATAGTATACATAATGTTGAGATAGTTCCTTCAAAAATGTTAAAATAAAATAAAAATATGACAGTATATATTTGTATATTAAGGGTGAGGAATTTCACATCCACACAAAACTATCATATACAAATGTCACTTTCAATTATTTAAAGACCTGCTGGTCTAGAGTGTGTGTTATCTGGGCCAGAGGCTTTCCTTCCACCACCATCCACCCATTTCCAACATCTCCTCCCTTTGACCACTTGCAGGCTGTCTCTGCCTTCTCACACTTTCCCCCAAAACAAAAGCAGGGAGTGTAGGGAAAGCTCAAATAAAACTAGTTCATTCTGCCTTTAGGGAAATAACTGGACAAACAACTGGCAAAAAATCAAACTGGGGCTTATAGTCAGTCATGAACTGCCTAGAATCAGCCAAAGTATTTTAATGTCATGATTCATTCCTGCCTCACCTCTCATATATCCGCCCACTATGTTGCCTGTGGTTTTCAAGTTTTTTAGGCCTGCAAGGAGTGTGCCCACAGAAATGGTACTTACATCATGAAGAGGATAGGCCGCCTCATAGATATTGTTTGCTATCAGAAAGTTAATGCCTATGGAAGAAAGGAAGATAAAAATAATAACTCTAGGGCAGGAGTTTCTTTTGACACATATTAAGCCCTCACCCATCTCTCAGCTGAGAATCACTGCACCCTCCTCTGTGGCCTCCCAGCGTACATGCATTTTTATCAAGCTTTAGTTCTTAGTGTAAGAGCAATATTTTTTCATTTCCAAATACAAAGTTATGTTTTGTAATCAGACAGGCTCTCTCAAACTTCGCATTTCTCCTGTCCTCGCATATTCAGATCTCTCCAGTCTAATAACTCTCCTCCTCTACCACCTCTCCATGCCCATCAATGTCAGTTGAGAATATCTATGTTCAATGATAGCATAAGGATTACTATATAAATTACTGTAATTATGATTAATAAAAATATGTCCCATAGCACTTTATCTGAACTCACTTCTGATAGCTCCCTGTTCCTGCACAGAGTGGTGGTTATTTCTCTCCATGGCTGATCAGTGGACCATGAGCTGCCTCAGGTAGGAACATACAGGGCAGTAGTTCTCAAAGTATGATCTGGGGAACCCTGGAAGTCCCCATGACATTTTCAGTGAGTTCATAGGTCAAAACTGTTTTTTATAATAGTACTAAGATAATATTTGCTTTTTCATCCCTAGTCTCTCATGAGTATACAGTGAAGTTTTGTGACATGTGATGACATCATCCCATTACAGCTGATGGAATATGTGTTTGCATGTTCTTGTGCTTTAAAAGTTTTTCAGTTTTAACTTTTAATGCAATATATATTAATCAATATAACCCACCTAAACAAAAGCCCTCTGGGCACTCTCAATGATTTAAAAGTATAAAGGGTCTCTGAGACCACAAAGTTTGAAAAGCCACACAAGGAATTAATTTTTTAATCTCAACAGTATTTCACACCACCAGCCAATAGCAAACCTATGAAATATATGTTCAATGACTCAATGACTCTGTCCCTTCAGCTCTAATATGCTCACAACACAGAACTTTGTGCTCAGCATTGAAGCATGGTTATTGTTTCATTCATGATTTTATTCAGCGGCTATGAAGTGGTCTACATGTTCTGCCTGACTCAGATGGGAGGATTATTCTCACCAATTCAAGCACAAGGATCTGGTCATGCTGGGAGGCACACTTAACCATGGGGTGTGGGAGGAGTCTCTGCTACACAGTGATTTCCCTTGCCTCAAATGCACTTTCTGCCCTGAATTATTCTTTCCAAAGAGACTATAGATAGGAGTGAGATGAGGAGAAAGTTGGTTTTGGAGGGAAACACATATGATATCTAAACTCTTATGTAATCTGCATTTTCAGGGCTCTGAATAAAGGACAGATTTGGATAACAAATCCAAACAACAGTTACTCATTAAAATTCATGATCTTTCACCTTCCATTTTACCCAATGCCCCACCTACAAGCCCAGAAACCACCAAGGCTCATAAACAATCCTCTCTCCTCTTGTCATCCTCCCCTTTCTCAAATCATGTGCCTGTTCACCTCAGTTCTAGGATAATGGATGCCAGAAAGACCAGCCATGGGCTCAATGGGAACAGAGACCACAGGGGCACTCAGCAGAAGTGGCCATTTTCCAATGAGTTGAGAGCTGTGTTTGGTGCAGCGGCATTACCAAAGGACCAGTCCTTTACTGATTTTGAGTTTCCTCCTTGGCATGAACATAAAACATCAGAAATAACTCTGGGAAGTAAGGGGGGAGGGAATCAGAGGGTGGGTAAAGGGAGTGTGGGTTGGGGAAGGGGTGCCCCAAGCCTCAATGAGCTGCAGATTTGTCCTACTTGAAGACTACAATTTCACTCTGAGCATCATTAATCAGTTCAAGAGCCATAACCACAGCAATGTAAAGCCACCCTACAATAATCAAGGGGAGGAGTCCCACGTCGGGAGGGGGTGGGGTAGTTCAAAGCTACACAAGGGCTGTCAACATGAATAGAGGCTGAAGCATCACAGGCCGGTAGGTCTTCAACTACACCACACCCCACGCACTATCCCACCCAATCTCTTACTCCCTCTTCTCCCCCACACACACCCTATGGTTGCCATGGCAGCAGTATACATCCTGAAGACAGTCTCAAAGTTGCATAGGAAAAGTTAAACAGGTATTGAACTCTTCTGCTAATTCTCAACTTTGCTGAGCACAGTAGCTGAGTGTCTGAGAGAATTAGGCTGACAACCTGAACTCTGGGTCCTACTGCCAGATCCTCAGAAAGATTTCAAATCATTGGAGTTCTAAAGCTGTGCGCCCCTCCCCCATCTCAAATAAAGTTTCCTTTCCAATGCATGCCTAAAGCAGGCAGCTCACTTCACTTGTGGAATTTGCGTGTGCAAATTGTTTTGTGTTCCTCATGGTCTACAAGGTACCTGAAATCAGAGAGCACTCCCCTCTCACCTTTGCCTCTTATTTATAACACCTAGTTCCCTGCTGGGAACACAGAAAGAATGATTGTTACAAATAACTACCCTATGGCTAAACGTATCTCAGTGACTTTCCATTTATCACAGGCACCCACCTTCCTCACTATTTCAGTTTTCTTTGGCAATCTATGCTGATGAAGAAACTTTAAACTCCGATTCATTAGTTCACATCCTAAGAGAGGAAGCACAACAAATTGGTTCTTTGCCTTGGAGCCAATATAATTTATGTGATCCTAACCCTGATAACCAGAGCCCCCAAATGCAGTCATGGAATGTGTCTCTGTCTCCCACGGCTATGGACCTCCTCTTTTTTCAGATGGTGTTCTATAGGCAATCCCAATCACTGGCTAATGAGCAGAGGGAAGCAGTAGGACATAAAAGAAAGAAGAATGGGGGTGGAGGCAAATTGCAAAGTCACTGTGCATCCACAACTTCACCCATGAATGGGAATTGTTTTGGCCTCTTGAGTCACCCACAGACTTCAGAAACCAAGATTCTACCCCCAAACAAGCATGAAAATTGGTTTGAAAGAAGAAGAAAATAATCAAACATTTTTTTAAAAGAGTCTGCTTTGAAAATTGAAATTCTGATTTTTTTTCCTTTCTTTTCAGCAAAAATGGGTTAATTGGTTCCATCCATGTGGCCATAATGTTAAAGCTTTCTTCTTTGGGATCACATCTATAGTCCTTCCTCTCTGCTCTAGACCCAGGGAGAGAGATGCCTAACTTCTTTTCCCATTACTCCCAGAATGGGGGCTTGGTAGAAGGAGGAAAGCATGGAGGGTGTTCCCTCTATCCACAGAGAGTAGCAGTGTCTCAGCTCCTAGCACAATTCATTAGAGACACCCTCCCTGACCCTTAAGTCCCATCAAATCACCAGGTACTTCATACCTATTGCTGTTAGAACTGTAACTCCCAAAAAACAATGTTTGTGTTTCCTCTTTGCTCATCACTGACCACACTCTGCACAGCCTGATCCAACCAGATAGGTCCTCTGCATCCAGAGCAGAGAGGGATTGGGCCCAAGACTGGTACCTGAAAACACACACTCAGAACACAAACCTGAGGCCTAGCATTTAGCTTCCGAAACATCTCTGGTTTCCTGGACACAAAGGATCAATCAAAGCACAGTTTATGGTCTGCCTCCCAGAGAGAATCTTATTAAATCTGCAAGTGGTGCTGGGTGACAGGGACTAATCTCTAGTCCTTCCAGGCCAAACTTAAAGGAAACTGCTCCATCGGGACAGGTACTTAGAGGAACGGTGCTGAACTGAAAACCCATTTGGTTTTGATCCTCCCCCAGAACAGGGTCCAATCCACCCGGCATGCTGCTTTCATCCCTGCACTCCAGCCGGACGTAAATCTAAACCAGAGCCCCCAGACGGTGCACTGAGCAGAGACTATATTTACCCATCACCAAATTGTCTTGACATGTGTTTAATTACTTAAATGCCTTTAATCCACAGTCTTTTCTTCTAACAAAATATAAACCAGTTCAGCTGCATGAATGATAAACCAGATGTTTACAGCACACAACATGGTCTGGCTTCAGTCAAAATAATTAAGACATCATCTCCTGAGTGGGGAGGGGAGATGCACAAAGCATATTCGTGTAAATGCTCTGACACCAAAGTGTCTATGAAAATGTAACTCCATCAATCTGCAGTTCTCTGTCCACGAAAAGGCAACAACAACTTCCACATGAAGGAACAGGAAAGGTGTCCATCCTCCTCGGACGTGATTACAGGAGCTTGGGTTTCTTTCCATGGTTAAGTATACTTTAAATGCTTTCCGTGATGGGGAAAACTCCCAGATTCTGAAAGCTGGCCTTATGTTATGATTAAGGAGGCATCATGAGGCTGGGCCAAGTCTGTGATGGCTCACATGCTACTGCCACCATGCAGAACCAAACTCACAAATATATTTAGTCTCTGAACATCATGTGTGCATTGGTCCATAATCTTTTGCTTCTAAAAGTAAATAAGAAAGAGGTTCCCTATCCACATCTTTGTAAATGATCTATTATAATACTATTCCCAACCTACATTTTCCTGATTTGAGTGTGTCATTTGTTTCTGATTCTCTTGAGTGGCTCCCATCATGGTTTTTTTGTTGTTGTTGTTGTTTGTTTTTTTGTTTTGTTTTTGTTTTTATTACTTGCTTTCTTTGTATGATCTCTCTTGCCAGACAACCACGTGGCTTATTTCCTCTTGCCCTCAAATGTTAATTCAAAAGTAAGCCCGCCTCATAAAGGCAGGGATTGGTGTCTGTTGTGTTTGTTTGATTTTCTACTCTATTCCCTTAGTTCTAGAATCTGAATGGCACATAGTATGTACACAATAAATATATTTTTTGAATGAATAAATGAATCTAACATTTGGCAGACCTCAGCTTCCTCCTCTCTGGGAAATCTTTCCTAATAACTTTATTCATTTATTAATTGATTAAAGAGCTATGAAGACAAGCTAAGGAACCCAAGTTATAAATCTGGCTTTGAATCTCTAACCTTGGGCACCAACATAATCTCTCTTTGATGAAATAAGTTAACATCTGTTAAACCTATTTTGCATGGTAGTGT